CACACACACACACACACACACACACACACACACACACACACACACACACACACAAATTCCCAGACAGAAAAACATTGAAGACCCCTGGTTTAAATAATAGTTATCCATAACAAGGATCACTGAAGTCAGCTCATACYAGACATTAGCTCATCAGTCCTGTCAGACATAAACTCTGTTTACAGAGAGTTATCTACAACAAATCTGATCATTAGAAGTAAACAAGGCAGTATTGTTTTTTTGCTCCTGTCATAGCATGGGTCTTTCTGTTAGCATGTATTCCTTCAAGAACTTTATTCTTCATATGCTTTCCACAGATCCTCACTTCAAAACCGTTGAACTGTTTCCTTTAAAGATACGCAGGAAATTTTCTGACTTTTTTTCTCAGTATGAGGTGTTCAAAAGGCTTCATGTAAGAAGAGTCATACTTGGTGTAGTTGAACGTTGGGAAGCGGATGCTGTTTTTAATGAAGATAGTGAAATCTTTTACCTCCTCCATGGGTTCACTGAAAAGAAAAGAAAGACGTGTTGATCTGCCTCACCATGTTTCAGGATGAATGAATTTATAGGTCTTTATACGACTCCAATTCCAATGAAGTTGGAAAACTTTAAATAAATAACAGAATACATACAATGAGGTTTTTCAACTTATATTCAGTTTAATACACTACAAAGGTAAGACAAAATTTAAAGCTCAAAAGGATAAAACCTATTGTTTTTTTGCCAATATTTGCTCATTTTGAATTTAATGTCTGCATCAGAGATTACTGAAGAGGTGCTGGTGAGGACATGAACTTCTTGATGTTAACACAGAAGTGTCCATCAGCAAGGTAAGACCTGAACCACTTAAGGGCTGAGCCTGTGATATCCACCTCTTGCTCCAGCCAGGAAATGAGGATTACATGGTCAAAGGTATCAAAAGCCGATGTGAGGTCTAGTAGGATGACATTTTCACCAGAATCTAAGGCTAAGATGTCATTAAACACATTCAGTCCCACAGCATGTTGGATTTTATCTCAAAAAATATTTCAAGTCAGTATAATCTGGATTTACATATCCACCTGACATACTGTACATGTCAAGTTGTACAGATAGTCCGTAATTTAACATGGATTGCCCCTCATTTTGCAGGTATGTGAATGTATAGAGCAACATCACAGATTTTTTTCATGCTATACAGATTTTTTCAAAAACTCATTTTCAAATTTCTTTATCATGTCAGACCCTGTAGGACTTTAAACAAACAAAACAACAATAACTTCTTCCAACCCACTCTGCCACTAGAAATAAGTTCTCTACTTCTCCTGTCTTTTCCTCCTGCTTTTCCACTGCAGGTCCTGGGAATACCTAGATCTACCTTGGACCACCTAGTATAACCCTGGATCTACCTGGGACTATGTGGGTCTACCAGGAACAACCAGGGTCTACCTGGGACTGCCTTGTATAACCTGGGTCTACCAGGGACAACCAGGGTATATAAGGAACTCCCTGGGTCTACATAGTAATACCCAAGTTTATCTGGGGTTACCTGAGTCTACTTGGTACTACCTCAGTCCACCTGGAACTATCTGGGTCTATCTAAGACTACCTTGTATGACCCGGGACTACATGGGAATGCCTGGGTCTACCTGGAATTACCTAGGTATTCCTGGGTCTTCCTTTGTCTACGTGGGACTACCTAGGTCTACCTATGACAACTTGGATCTTTCTGGGACTACTTGGTTCTACTTGTGACTTCCTGGGACTGCCTCTGTCTACCTGAGATAACAGGAAACTACCTGGATCTACCTAGGTATATTTGAGACTACCTGGGAATACCTGACACTAGTTCCCTGGACTACATTCGTCTACCTCGTACTACAAAAGGTTTACCTGGGTCTAAGACTTTCTGGGTCTACCTAGGACAACCTGAGTCAGACTGGGACAACCTGGGTCACACTGGGACTACCTGGGTTGTTCTGGAATTATGTGGGTCCACTAGGATTACCTGGGCCTACGTGAGACTACCTAGGCCAGCCTGGGTTTATCTGGGACTTCCTAGGTCTACCTGAGACTACTTTGGTCTATCTAGGACTACCTGGGACTATCTGGGGATATGTGTGATTAACCGGGTCTACCCGGGAATGCCTGAAACTACCTGAGACTACTTGGGAATACTTGAGACTTCCTGTATTTTTCTTGGTCTACCTGACACTACCTGGATCAATCTGGCACTATCTATGAATACCTTAGACTACTTGGGTGTATCTGGGTCTACCCAAGAATGCTTGAGACTATCTCTTGCTTCCTGTGATTTTCTGGGAAAACTTAAAAATACTTGGGTCTATCTGGGGCTACATGGACTACCTCGGATTATCTGGGCCTTCCTGGGATTACTTGAAACTTCCTGGGTATACATTGGTCTACCTGAGACTACCTGGATCAACCTGGGACTATCTGTGAATACCTTAGGCTACCTGGGTCTACCCAAGATTACTTGAAACTATCTCTCGCTTTCTGTGATTTTCTGGGAAAACTTAAGAATACTTGGGTCTACCTGGGACTACCTAGTACTACCTGGGTCTACCTGGGACTACGCAAGTCTACCTTGGGCTACCTGGTTCTACCTGGATAACTTTGGATTATCTGGGTCTACCTGGGAAAACCTGAACCTGAGACTACTTGGGTCTACTTGGAGCAGGTTGCAGCAGAGTGTGAAGCGTGACCTCATCTATGGTCATGAGCTTTGGGTAGTCACAGAAAGACTGAGACTGTGGATACAAGAGACCAAGATGAGTTTCCTCCGCAGGGTGTCTGCTCCCTGGTGAGGTGTTCCGGGCACATCCCACTGTAGGGAGACCCAAAGACACGCTGTAGGGACTATGTTTCTCAGCTGGCCTGGGAATACCTTGGGATTCTCCCAGATGAGCTGGCCCAAGTGGCTGGGGAGAGGGTAGTCTGGGTCTTGCTTAGGCTGCTGCCCCCGAGACCCGACCCCGGAAAAGCAGATGAAAATGAATGAATGGATGGATAGATACTTGGGACTACCTGGGTCTATCTGGGACTACCTGGGATTTTACAGTATATTTGACTTTAATTTGAGTAACCGTTAAACGATTGCTCTTGAAAAAACTGTGTTTACTGAACCTGTCAATAATGAGGTGGAGTTTCTGTCCTCTCTAAGAACTGTAGACAAATAAAAAGACGTTATGCTGGTAACACCTCACGTTTTGATTGTGTCGATCTCTGCAGGGCACCAACCCTTTATTTCACACATGTTGGTGGTGGAGTTGAAAGGAACACATTTTCCAGTGGGAAGTCCTGAGCAGAGGCAGAGAAGCTTTAAAAACAAACAAACAAACAAACAAACACACACACACACAAACACAAGCAAAATATACTTATACACGTCTATTTGTACACTGCCTGGCCAAGAAAAAGTTGCTATCTGGATTTAGCTAAGTACTGTGATGTGGTCAGGTCTAGGTTCAGCAACAGTTTCTGCTCAAAGAATGAGGTCAGCTGACTAACTGAATATACTGAATGACCATGTTATTCCAGCAATAGATTTTTTTTCTTCCCTGATGGCACGGACATATTCCAAGATGACAATACCACGATTCATCGGGCTTGAATTGTGAAAGAGAGCATGAGAAATAATTTTCACATATGGATTGGCTCCAAAGAGTCCATTGAGAATCATTGGGATGTGCTGGAGAAGGTCAAACTCTACCATCATCAATGCAAGATCTTGGCGAAAAATTAATGCAACACCAGATGGAAATAAATCTTGTGACATTGCAGAAGCTTATTGAAACAATACCACAGAGAACGTGTGCTGTAATCAAAAAGGCAGTCCAACGAAATATTAATGTGACCTTTTTTGTTGGTGGCGACTTTTTTGTGGGCAGGCAGTGTATGTGTGTGTACACCTCTAAAAGTACTGGATCATTTCCTTTAGCTGTAGACTGAAAAAAACTGAATTTGACATTGAAATATGAGAGAACAAAGCAACAGTTCAGCTCTTGTCTCCAGGTGTTTACATCTGGATAATATACACAACTGAAGGTAGAKTTGTTTGTAACAAACTAAACTAAAATTAACTAAATATTTTGTTAATTATTGGAACCTAGACTCAACCCTGCTTGCATGTCAACAATCTCTAGAAATGTTAGTTTGTCTGATGTTTATTGGGGGAAATACGAGCACAAAAGTTGATTTGGATTTTGAATTTGTGAAAATTTCTCTAGTTTCCATGCATGCTAACTAGTTGGCACTGTGAATGTGGTTTTTTAATACTTAAAGCATTCCGATTCAGTTTCATAAAGATCATAACACATTTCTTTCAGGTTCAATCAGCTAACCACACAACTGGTTTATACCTATGATTTTACATCCTGAAAACCTCTACCCTGTGCACTCCCGTAGAGCTGCCAAGTGCCGACAGGCAGTTCTGCGTGGGGTGCAGGTTTGGTGATGGCTGAAGGAAGAGAGTTCTCCAAACTGTTTCCCTGTCTAAAAGAATAAAGCCAGCTATATGAAAACACTTAGGATGCCGTAAAAAGACGGACGGCAACGCCTTGTGAACAGTGGAGGCAACACATCTAACATGATCGCACCTGGTAAAGCTGTTGAAATGAACGAGCTAACTTTAACATCAGACATTAGTGAAACATGTTTTCAATCTACAGCTAAATGAAAGGATCTGTATATTTCTACTGTGAAAAGAATAAGAATGTAACAGACAGAAGATATTACCGTTATCAGCTGGTTTATGAAGAAACCGTTTGCAGTTGCTGTCATTTGAACAGCTGTATTTTTTTCCGCTCTAAGCAACACACATACAAAAAAAATAATTATAACATTAATTTTTACAAATTGGTTAAATCAAACAAAAGACATCAAAAATCCACTGCTACTCGTATCGCATTATTCCATATGTATTTTCAGATTACTCCTTGTTTTCCTGACCATCAAAACTGTCAGAGAGGGGAATGGGATTAATCTGCATAAACATCTCACAGAGCTAAAAGCTTGGAACCTCACACTCCTCAGCTCGAAATGGAAAAACTCTCTTTTCTTTTGTCAGATAGTAGTCCTGATCCCAATGCCATGACCTATTCTCTGAAGGCTCTTTCACATTATGATGTTTTGGACAACTTATGCAAACTTGTGAGAAGTTTGTCCAATACTAAAGGTGTCAAACCTGAATATGATATACACTAGGTCAACTGCACATAGTTAACTGGGGGGTGGGGCAGCACTGAATGTAAAAAAATGAATTGTAGAATTCTGTTAACATAATAGTTAGGTTTTCAAAAGGGCTCCTAAATTCCTCTCAGGCAGTTTTTCATGTTATTAAACCCATTTTGCACTAAGTGCCATTTTTAAAAAAGGTTTAAAAGAAATGTGATTAATTAACTGAATTTTAGATACAGATTTGGATGGTTTTTAGATACTCTACACTTTGTGATCAATTGCAGTCCTTTACGTTAAACAGGGAGAGAATCAGTGTGTTTTAACGTACTGATGGTTTTCGCAGTATAAATTTGCACATAGTGGATGGCAAAGGTTTTTTGGGAGTACACTGTTTCAGTGCTGACGTAAAATGTACATACTAGCATGTGACCAGAGTGTTTTTATTATTGTTCGGATATGTGGAAGACTTTAGAACAGAGGGAGATTTTAGTGCATGCAGACGCAGAGAGGGACTTGTTTTAGTCTGCTGATAAGACTCAGGATCACTCCAGGCGCTGGGAGACAGAAGCTCTGAACACTGAAATGGAATTACAAATTTGAAGAATAAATCTTGTTAAACAGAGAATTCAATTGGTCTTCTACAAAATTAGTCTGGTTTCCAATTTTGATTGTTTTTCTTATGGGTTTATTGATCGCAATATTGAATGTTGTCACTCAGTAAAAAAGACACCTAAAATAGAGACACTATTAGGTAGATTGTTATTTTTTTAAATATAAGAGGTTGTAGTTTATTTTATTGCAGCCTATAATTTATTTAAGTTTACTTTGAAGTGAAATTGTTCAAAACAAACTGCAGTAGAGGTTAAAGGGATCCCTGATTAGTTGTAACTTTAGACTTTATTTGATAAACATATATTTTAACTGTAAAATAAAGAC